TGAAAACTCTAACACCAACTGTTCAAAAGTTACGGCCAAGGTTAAAGTTTTTCAAAAGTAAGTCGAACCCCAAGGTCAAGGTCAAAGTTGTTGGTATCTAAAGTAAGGTCTTGTCACAAGGAATGCACATGTGAAGTATGAAGGCCCTAACACCAACTGTTCAAAAGTTATGGCCAAGGTTTTAAGTTTTTCAAAAGAAGGTCAAACCCCAAGGTCTAAGGGTCAAAGTTGTTGGTATCTAAAGGAAGGTCCTGTCACAAGGAATGCATATGTGAAGTAAAAAAGCCCTAACACCAATTGTTTAAAAGTTATGACCAAGGTTAAAGTTTTTCAAAAGTAGGTCAAACTCCAAGGCCAAAGTCAAAGGGTCAAAGTTGTTGGTGTCCAAAGGAATGTCTTGTTACAAGGAATACACATGTGAAGTATAAAAATCCTAGCACTAACTGTTCAAGAGTTATGGCCAAGGTTAAAGTATTTCAAAATTTAAGTAGATTAAACTCCAAGGTCAAGGTCAAAAGTTCAAAGTTGTTGGTATCCTAAGGAAGGTCTTGTAACAAGGAATACACATGTGAAATATTAAAGCCCTAACACAAACTGTTCAAAAGTTAAGGCCAAGGATAAATTTTTTCAACAGTAGGTAAACTCCAAGGTCAAGGTCAAAGGGACAAAGTTGTTGGTTTCCAAAGAAAGGCCTTGTCACAAGGAATACACATGTGAGGTTTGAAAGCCCAAGTACCAACTGTTCAAAAGTTATGGCCAAGAATATAGTCTCATAAAATTTTGCAAAAGTGGGTCAAGGTCAAAAGGTCAAATATGATGGTACCCAAAGAAAGGTCTTGTCACAAGGAATACACATGTGAAATATGAAAGCCATAGCTCCAACCAATCAAAAGTTATGGGCAAGGTTAAAGTTTTTGCGGACAAACAGCTAGACAAACAGATAGACAGACGGACGGACAGGGCAAAAACTATATGCCCCCGAATCTTCGATTACGGGGGCATAAAAATGACAAAAATACATACAAGCAATAAAGAACTTTATTAAAAATACTCCGCTATGTAGATAAATTTCTCTGTCTCAGAATGTGTGTTTTCTTTTATATTGGTTGCATATCTGCCAAATGTCTGAATAATATAAAGTTGCAAAAAAGGGAATGAAATAAGATAAGTTAATATAAAATCATTTCCAATTCTAGAATTCTTTTAGAAAATTCACTATATCATTTAAATTTATTAATTATTATTTTTATGCCCCCGTAATCGAAGATTCGGGGGCATATAGTTTCCCTGTCCGTCCGTCTGTCTATCTGTCTGTCTAGCTGTTTGTCCGCAAAAACTTTAACCTTGCCCATAACTTTTGATTGGTTAGGGCTATGGCTTTCATATTTCACATGTGTATTCCTTGTGACAAGACCTTTCTTTGGGTACCATCATATTTGAACTTTTGACCTTGACCTTGGAGTTTGACCAACTTCTGTAAAATATTTTGAGACTTTAACCTTGGCCATAACTTTTGAACACTTGAAGCCTGGGCTTTCAAACTTCACATGTGTATTCCTTGTGACAAGGCCTTTCTTTGGAAACCAACATCTTTGACCCTTTGACCTTGAACTTGGTCTACTGTTGAAAAAACTTTAACCTTGGCCATAACTTTTGAACAGTTTAAGCTAGGTCTTTCATACTTTGCATGTGTACTCCTTGTGACAAGACCTTTCTTTGCATACCAACAACTTTGACCTTTTGACCTTGACCTTGGAGTTTTTCCTACTTCAATTTTGAAAAAAATTAACCTTGGCCATAACTTTTGAACTAGGGTTTTTATACTTCATATATGCACTCCATGTGAAAAGACTTTTCTTTAGATACCAACAACTATGACCCTTTGACCTTGACCTTGGAGTTTGACCTACTTTAAGAATACTTTAACCTTGGCCATAACTTTTGAACAGTTTGTGTTAGGGCCTTCATACTTCACATGTGCATTCCTTGTGCCAAGACCTTTCTTAAGATACCAACAGTCCTGACCTTTTGACCTTGAAGTTTGACGTACTTTTGAAAAACTTTAACCTTGGCCATAACTTTTGAACAGTTGGTGTTAGGGCTTTCATACTTCACATGTATATTTTTTGTGACAAGACCTTCCATTTTATACCAACAGTTTTGGCATTGACCTTGACCTTTGAGTTTGACCTACTTTTAAAAATTTTTAACATTGGCCATAACATTTTTTGGTTCTAGGGCTTTCTCATTTCACGATCATGTGTATCACTTGTGTCAAGTACTTCCCTTGGGCACAACCGTTCACGGTAGCTCAGTCGGTAGAGCGCTCGCTCCGTGATCGGGAGGTCGTGAGTTCGAATCTCGGCCTCGACAGACCTAAGTCGATAAAAAATAGGTAGCAACTGTTCCTTCGCCATGCGCTCCGCACTTTGAAGTGAAAGTTGCGGGTCCTTCGGATGAGACCTTAAAAACCGGGGCCCCTGTCACGGCAGGCGTTGGCACGATAAAGATCCCTCACTGCTCAATGGCCCTGAGTGCCGAGTAAAGGTCAAAATTTGAAGCCCTTCACCGGTATATGGTGACGTCTCTATATGAGTGAAAAATTCTCGAATTGGACATAAAACAATATACAATCAATCAATCCCTTGGGAACCATTTGACCTTGACCTTGCTGTTTTATTTACTTTGAAAAAACTTAAACCTTCGACATAACTTTTCAACGGTTTGTACTAGGACTTTCATATTTCACAGGTATATTCCTCGAGACAAGACCTTCTTTGAGTACCAACATTTTTAATTTCTTGACCTGGAGTCTGACTTACATTTAAGAAATTTAAACCTTCGCCTTAAGCTGCCATACAGGGGCATCAGTGTTTCAGAACCACATCTTTTTTTTTTTTTTTTTTTTTTTTTTTTTTTTTTTTTTTTTTTTTTTTTTGAGAATTTATTATTTCACTTTTTTATCATATGAGAATTTTTAAAACCAGAATTGACACAAGTAGTGCTTAAAATAACAATAAAGAATGTCAATTCTTTCAAATTACAAAAGAAGAAACCCAGTCAAGATTTGGTTTCAATTATTTATAACCCTGACACAATTTGAAGCGAATTTTTATGCATATGTATATTCTATTGCAACGTTGGAAATTTTAACTAGAATATATATATACAAGATTTTGTTATAACTGAAAAGTGGTAGGGCAAAATTAATCTCTTAAAAAAAATTTCACCGAAATGTGTATTTAATGCCAAGCTTTAAAATGCAGCTGTAATAAGAACTAAGATCATGCTGCAGGCAAATGCTGAGTCAAAGCTCAATTTTTGATCGACTTAGGCAGTGAAAATTGGCGTAGAGAGAATTTCATTCAATTTACACCAACAATTATCATTTCGGCGAAAATCAGCGAGTTGTCATAGATTTCTGATATGATGGACAAGCTTCATAATTACATGTACGTTTATTTCTGACTTTTATACTCAATCCACTCCACCCCTACATCGCTGATTGTAAGCATTTTGGAAGGCGGAGATTGTAAATATCACATTTTATGACGAATTATCTTTTTTTAAGTACTACAGAAATGCTACTTTAATGACGAATTATCTTTTTTTAAGTACTACAGAAATGCTACTTTAAAATTTCTAAGAAATATTAATTACACGACTTTTTTACAAAAATATTCTCTTAAGTAGCTAGGATTTTTTTCACACACATGAACAATGCAATTTTATCTATAAACACTTCTTAAAAATATTGAAGACGTACATTTTCACACTAGGAATTATTTACTCTATTTACACGGTCACAAATTTTCCACAAATCTGTTGCAGCGTACTTAAAGCGCATTATTTCTATTATATAAATACTGCATGTAGTTGAGTGTAACATTGAAAATTTTCACCCCAAGAAAACCATTGTCAACCGAGGCGCAGCCGAGGTTGACAATGGTTTTCGAGGGGTGAAAATTTTCAATGTTACACTCAACTACATGCAGTATTTATTATATTATACTGAATGTTTTATACAAATACATATTACAGTGAACCTTGCGCGCATGAATTCTGCGCAGTCAATATTTTTTTGAATAACACCCGTCGTCAAGCAATGTTAACTGTTGCTACGCTGGTGGGCGTGGCTTCATTATTCAGCGGGTAATAGTGTTTTTTAACAAATGTTTCTCGACGAATCAGATTCAACTAATTTACATGAAAGTATAATATTGATAAATACATGTACGTATATCCATCTTACTAGATATTTATATGTGTAGATACTCATTCCTTTTAGATCTATTTCAGTGATCCCCACCAGGCGCGTAGCCAGAATGGAAGTGAAGTGTACGCAGAGAACGACAGGGTGAAGCCCTCCCTGGTGGGGGCCCAGGGGACGAATCCCCCGGAAGCTGCAGGGTTTTTCCAAATATTTCAATCACTTTCTTGCAGGAAATATGATTCTTCGCTTTTCTTTAGAAATAAAAAAAACTTAGTAATATTGTTTTTAACGCAACGTTCAACTTCCACGGAAACTTCCACGTATATTTGTGGCTGGATAATTTACCGATACATTGGTATCGTCTGCATTTTTTTTATAGTATAATGTTCAGCACCAAGTATAATAAATGTTATAAAAAAAAAACATAGTATTTAAAATTTATACTATTTGATAAAGCACTCCATTCGACGATATGATTAAAATTTAATTTCTCAACAAATATCTTTAAAAATTGTCAATCTGTTATAGAACACTTACAAGCTTACGAATAATTTATTTGGATTTGGTAATAATTTAATAATAGATTTCAAATTTGATTTTATAGACATGATATCGCAATAATTTATTCAAAATAATATGACAAAAAGAATTTGATAATTTGAAAATAATTTGAAACTGAAATATTTGCTGGTTGATATTGCATTTTCTCTCCCTCGTAGATTTTTTTTTTTTATTTTAATTTTTTTTTTTTTTTTTTTTTTTTTTTTTTTTTTTTTTGTGGTTAAAATGATGTGTACGCACTTGCGTACTTGCGTATAGGTAGCTACGCGCCTGCCCACCAAGTCCTTCAAATACTCAAAATGAGTATTAGTTACACCATCTGACTTCAAATATTCTCATCAGGTATAACCCTGGTGTCAATGTTATATTGTTATATTCTCCAAAAAATCACTCATCTACTCAGATGAGAGTACACTCCATCTAATTCACTGGTATGGCTGTAGGTATTTGTTGCGTCATTTGAAGAAGAATCGTTTATATGAAGAATATTATAAACACTATCTTGTGACTGTCTGTTATTTGTGAATTGGCCATTCCAACTTTCCGTTTTAGGAGTCTCCTCAACCGTTTCAAAGGTGTTTAGAGTATAATTATATTCCACAGTGAAGTAATTATGAGGTTTCTTTGGAGCATGTATTTGTTGCGTACACTTCCGGGAAAAACTTCCGATTAATCCCTCCTCCTTCTCTAGTATGAAGTAGTTATCCATCTGCATTCTTTGAGTTCTGTTCCCTAGAGATTCGGATGAATGTGATTCCCCATATGCTGAATGCTCAGCATTGCCTGGAAACTAAACCACTTTAAAATTTAGTATGGGATATTTTTTGTGTTTCATATTCTTAATCTGAATTATAATTTGTTGTTATATTATAAAATACATGAGTATTCATCGTATATAGTTAGATCTACCTGTCTGTTGAGTTCTGATTTTACTTTCCTGAAACGACAATACTTATTTATACCATATGAAATTACTATCAGGAGAAATAACAGAATACTTCTGAATAACCCCCCAAAAAAGAATACCAAATATTTAAAATGTTGATACCTATAACGACAGTATAGGGAAGCAGTGATTCCACTGACAAATAGCAAGCCTAAACAGACCAGTAATATGGGCAATATATCATAATGCGGATCACGTGGTGTGCCTGGGTTCATCAACACATCACCAACGGTTGATTTTGTCACTGGTGATGATTCAGATGTTAGATCCATCGTAAAATCATTTTACATATTCTAAAAAAGAAGAAAAGTATTTTCATACCTCTCTCTCTCTCTTTAGTGTGTGTGTGTGGGGGGGGGGGGGGATGCATTTGTGTCCGGTGAACTTATTTTAATTAAGTTTAAGAGTTTATGATAGTAATTCAAATTGCCATAGATTTTTTATGGTTAAAAATGTAAATATTCCAATTGTGAATGTGAAAACTTTAACTTTAAAATTAATATTGATGCATTTTATATATCTCGAAACAAAATAAATGATAGAATTTGTGAACAATAGGACTTTTTTTTATAGGAATTGTTATGAATATTATGATTATTCTCTCATCTAGATTGTATAAAAATCTCTATAGTTATTGTCAAGATCAAATACACGAGTTCTATATGTACATTGTTTCTAGTTTAAAAACATCATAAGCATTTTCTTAGACTTTCTAGAAATACATAAATGACACCTCTTCCACAAAGATCTGTATAGAAAGTTATGTGAATTGTTTTTGTTATAAATAAAACACAGTTGATTTGCCTACGATTGTTTTGTCAATAAGGGTGCATGGAGTTAACACAAGCTGAGTGACATTCGTGGTTTCAGGTGTAGAAAGAAATATCTGACCACAGCAACTGGGACGAGAACATGTTATATCTTTATTTATTATATATTTGTTCAATAATACAGGATTTTTGCATCCCTGATATGAACACTGCCACGCGCCCTGTATTACACACCCTGTATCAGCACCCTTTATTTTACCCTTTATCACACCCTTTATTACACCTTTCTGGAACATCTCTGTATTTTTCATTCGGAGTACCTCGGATCTTTTTCTATTAATTGTTTATAAAGTTTATTTAAATTGTAAATTTTCATCAGATATTTTATGCTATTCAAAATAATTATTTGTTTAATTTATAATTATTTCGTTTCTTATCGCTGTATGCATTGCCTTTGGAAAAAAATAATGAGAAAGGAAATTCAACGAAAAAAAAGAACATATTCAATTATTAAGAATTAATTAATTTACAGGTTTATATATGATTTTTTTGACACTATTTTCAAATATATAATAAAAACAATAATACATGACAAAATCTGTATCACACCCCATATCAACCCTCGACCAATATCAGCCCTCTGGCCTTCGGCCCTCGGGCTGATATTGGAGTCTCGGGTTGATATGGGGTGTGATACAGATTTTGCCATGTATTATTCTCTATTTATCATATACTTAGTAGTAAATACACCGATTATGCACTCTGCGAAACGGGTGACGTCACAATACCCCATATCAAGGACCGGTCCGAAAATCCATATCACGTATCGGACCGGCGTGCAAAAATCCATATCAAACCGGAAGTAACGTTTGTATAAAATTTATAAGTTAATTAACTTATAAATTATTTAAATATGCAAGTAAAATAATCCTTTACTAACATTTATGGACTTAATTTGTTTTCAAAGACCTAAAATTGGCGCTATTAGATTTTAAAGAAAAGGATCATAAACATGCATGAAACATTCTTCCATGACTTTATGTGAATATTCTATCAGCCCTCGGGCCCCATATCACCCCTCGGCCTGATATGGGGCCACTCGGGCTGATATGACATATGATATGGATTTTAGTATGTAATATTCTCTGTATTTTAACGACAAAAGTATGTTTTCTCTAAAGTTCTTTTTTGCTTTTTTTTTTTTAAATAATCAAATTGGCTGTGAGCTACAAAAAAAAAATAATATGTGATCACATTGCCAATAGAACACAAAAATACAAATAAGAGAAGAATTAATCAGTAAATTCAAATTTATTTGAACAACATACCCAAAATATTTGGCAGTGCCACACTCACTCATAGTTATTACTGCGGGTTTTGTCTCTAGATAAACAAGATACCGGTAATTTGTATCTCGCGTTAAAAGTGGGATATATGGGGTATTTTGAATTTTATAATACATGATAACATTTTTGCATTAGGAAAATAACACACATCGCTCTCGAACACGTACACGTACACTCAGATCAAGGAACATCAGCACAGTGAATGTCAATAAATATACCTCTTAAACCAGATTAAGTCTTGAAGATTTTCTCGACAAATAATAATTTTATAAATTCAAATCACTGTGCTGAGAATTATATAAATATAAAGAAAACAACTAAATAAAACGCCGGTTAGAAATTTTATGGAGTTTTATTAACATAATCTCCAAATAAATTATATACCTGTCACAACGACAGAGTCTTTATAAATAGCAGAAATATCAGGTTAAAAAGTACGATGCCCGTTTTGCGTTATTTACAAGCGCAATTTTAACCGTTGCGATATATTGACATATTTTATACATCAACCTCGGTCAAAGCTGTAATTTAAATCATTTGTATTATTGGCCACTGCATTTTTTATTATCATTAAGAATAAAGTGTAACCACTATCACCTGAATCGGATCTTGTTGCTTTTAAACGGCACCGATTACTGAAATCACTGGTGCTAGAACCATTTTGCCATGGTTTGCACATGTAATGCAAATGGTTTTTTTTCTTTTTCATTTTATATGAGTAGAAGAGAACAATCTTTATCGCTGAAAATCAAAATATGCCACTTTATTGAACGATATTCTATTTTAATTTTTTTTAATAAAAGGGTATTTGAAAAACAAATGTGAATTTGATAGAGGTAGGAGGAAAAAAAATCGTTTCAACCGTAGTCATCGCACACCATGTCTTATTTTGAAGTTATTGTTATTGCAATTCTTTGAAATACAGTATAGTAATCTTTCTTTTAATAAATGTTTCACAGAAGCATCAGCATGATAGAATAGCATGTTGAACGCTCAGTCTGACTTGCAATTCCTGCGAGTTCTGTTTTTGAAGAAACGTCTACATGAGTATATACTTAAAGACAACCAAAAGATCAGACTAATGAAATATATGGAGATAACGAACAGTATTCAAGCTCAAAAGTCCATTAAACAATACAAATTAAGAGCAGAGCAAACACGGACCTCCAAACGTCAGAGGTGGGATTAGGTGCCATGGAGGAGTGAGCATCCCCTGCCGACCGGTCACACCCACCGCTTGCTCCTTGTCATGATCGGGAAATAACGGAAAAATCCGTCGACTATTCAGTGTGTTAATAATGGCCTAATAATTAGTATGAAAAACGTCAGTCAGTATTTGACTCAATGATAAACTGTATTTGCTGACAAGGTCATTGTATTGACCATAGAACTTACGAAATGATGACTTTAAACGAGACAGCTGACTAACTAAAATTAAAAAGATATTTCTATTTGTTTTATTACTGTATATGAAGATATGACTTTCCTGTTAGTTACACAATTTAATTAAATCAATCGCATTTCATAGATATTAGAAATTTAAAACAATAACCGATTTATATACCGACTCCGCATTTAAATATCAGACACTGTTTTAAGTCAATTTAGCTATAGAAACGTAATTGGGTTATTCAAGTTCAAAATCGGTGAAAATTTTAATTTGAACGTAAATAACAAATATCATGTTCATCTATTCTCAAATCTCGTATTTTTATTTTTTAGCTCAGATACGCCATATATAGCTTTAACATAACCCAGCATCTAACAGCGTCAAACAGCATAAATCAGCAATTTTTCTAAATCAGTCAAGTCGTTTTCTATATTATTAAGAAGTTGATAAAAACTTACTTCTTTCTTCCTTGATAATTATATTGTGATATCTAATGTGGTTTATTTTTCATCTTTAATGTTTTGTTAAAGGTGTGCTTTGTTTTCCTTATAACTAATGAATATAAAATCTCAAGTGGCCAGGAAGTACGACAGGGTGTCAGCCTGATGACTATATGTCATATTTACCATGAGCACTTAATTTTAGCTGACACAATTATATGATTTGTCATGCATCGTTGCTTAAACAGAGCGGTTCGAAAGAAAGAAAACATACTTACTGGTGCGACTCACTTTTATCATCGTGTAATGATAAACAAAAGCTAAATTAAAACATTTAAGCCCTTTTTACCTTTTCGTGTTCAATGTAATATTTTAGTGTCAAATAGTTATTATTTGCCGTTGAAGTTAAGTTCTGCTTAAAGTTCTAAATCTAAGAAAATTCAGAGTGTTTTATTTCAGTTAAGGTCTTTAAAGGGAATCTGAGCTTCACATTTCGTAAGGACGTTCTTAGAAGGTATTTCACAGGTATACTAAGGTCTTGCAATTTAGATTTGTTTCTGCAATGTACTTAAAACTGAAATGGAAAAAAATGTAACCTATCAATTTTTTTAAACCTGTTTGTTTTTAAAACAAACGAAATCTACAAAGAGAGACAACAAACATTAACCACTTCGAGAAATCTAAAAGCACTAGTAATCTTACTAGATTTGATTAGTCTAAGTTAGATATAATTTATTAGCTGGATTTCTTACCCGAAATAGTGGGTGAAAACAGAGAGAGAAAGAGAGAGAAATTCGTGTGATCTTCCCGGAGTCTTGTTTATACAAAGTGGATACATGTGAACATGATTAAAGCGTGCAAAAAATAGAAATTTTCCTATTTTACCTACATCTAAACATACACATTTTTATATGTTGGTGGCCCCGAAGATAATATTGCCAGGCCCGTAGGAAACTATTTCAGTTGGGAGGGGGGGGGGGGATCATACATTTTCAGTTGAGGGGCACTATCAAGTACCAAAAATTCCTTGGCAAGCAAAAAAAGGTCATCAGACGCTTATGTTGACGGGGCACAAGCATATGGTAGCTATGTTTTCTATAGTAATCTATGTATCGGCAAAATTACTGGGGGGGGGGGGGGGCACGGCCCCCTTCCCGTGCCCCCCTCCTTCCCCGGTTACTACGGCAATGATTGCATTATTTTTAAGCTATAAGGGTTCTATATATTTCATTTTAATTCAATCTTGGCCATGTCAGGATTTTAAGCCTAGCCTGGTCATGATTTTCAATCCAGGACATTCTTGGCATGGCCAGGATTGTAAATATGACCGGCTAGGATTGAAATACATTGAAATATTTAAAACATGAACTGGACCCACTGTGGATTTCTATAATATATATAGCCAAGATAAATCAGAATATCCCATTAATTTTTCAGTCTTCGTGTTTTACGCTTGAAAAATTACGCAGTTACTTTTCACGATAGAAACTATCATTGTTTGTAAAAGCAGCAGTTTATTTTAGCTAAGCTAAGGCCTGAATTGCACAACTAAATCTTAACTGCATATAGAAGTAAAACTTAACAGGAAAACATAGGAAGGTTCTACTGTACATGTTTTGTTACTTCTCTTTATTTTATGATAAAAGACGTGAATTCTCTCAGTCAATATGTGATTTTTCGCCTCTTACATGAAGCTTGCATGACAAAATAAGAGAACTGTGTCAGCTAAACTTGTGCCTTCTTTATAAGTATGCATTATGCAGGAATAAGTAAGCATTAGGAATGCCTATAGGCATTAGACAGACACCCTGTCATACTTCTGTGTCATATTCATTCGTTAAAGACAACATGCCTTTTAACGTAAGTGATCATATGTAAATATTAGATATCACATCGTAATTATTACGGGTTTCAGCAACTTCTTCGAAAACTTTCTGATTTTGATGCTGACTGACGACTGATAGAGATATGTTTGGTATGTTTGTTATCCTGATCCTCTGTGTAGTGAATTATAGTAAACCTACAAGAAGTAACATTGAAGCCGATTTTGTTAGGGGAAGTAGACGTGTTGAAAACATGTATTTTTGCGGTTTGTTATGGTTTTGTCAATTAAATTCTACTTTACATAAACTCTGGGATTGGCAGATTGCTACGAGGGTCATGCAATAAGTAATGCAACATACAGTTTATCATAATAAATGTAGAAGTATTTAATTTTATTTTTTAACAGTTGAAAAGTTCTATTTAAGAACTTCTAATCACAAAAAACCCCATGCATTTTCCTATTGTTGTCGCAAAGGAATTCACTTTTAAAGTAAGCATGGTCACTACACTCAGCCAAAAACTGTTAAAAAAAGATCTCTGCCAAGAAGATGAAAATGAGGGCGTATATGAAAACTGTGCTTCGTTACATAAATAGATGAATAACCTATTTTAAAGATATGACTTTGATATGTGGAAAGACTAGTCTTTCATGCTGTATAGTTTTCAGATGGATTTGGAAATTTAAAAGAAAAAATGTACAATTAAAAGATTGCAGTCAAACTGTTCGATCGAAATCTGTACGGGCACCAAAAATATCGATGCTGTGAGCAACATATCTGAAAATGCCAAATTTCCGTTGATAGACTTTGCTAAAACACGAAGCATTTCATTGTTATAACAGTTAATAGAGTTTTGACAAATAAAATAAATCTAACAATAATTCTATCAGGTGGGTGCCATATTTCTTTACAAATGCTTAAGACAAAACACACGTTAAATGTGCCAATGGTCTATCTAAAAATAAACATTTTTACAAAAAAGATTTGATCAACTTGAGTGATGGATGACGAAATATGGGTGTACTTTTTATAAGGAAGATTAAGAATAAAATGTGGAATAAAAGAGAAAGTTGTCGTCCTATTATTGCAAAGAGAAGCAAGGGTTCCAAATATGTTTTATCAATTTTCTTTTTATTCAAGAGGTCCGGTAAAACATGTAATACAGCCAAATGAAGGACTATCAATGGTAACTTTTACGTAAAAATTTCACTCAGGAAAGTTAAGCAGATTTCCTGCAAAGCAAGCCCAAATATTAGTCCCCGAATATTTTTTTCTGCACCTGAAAACGCTGCGGCAAATAAGCATAGAGAAATAAATAAAATTTTGAAGAAAGGAAAGTTTACAGAGCTTGGGCATCCCCCGTATTAGCTAGATCTCAGCCATTGTGAGATCTTTTTCTTCCAAAAACATATGAAAAAAATCAAAGGAAGATTTTACAATTTCAGGTATATCATAAAAAGTGTTATTCATCAGTGTCTTTAGGTCATCCCTGAAGGTTTTCTGGTCATGGGTACAAAGACTTTAGACATGTGTAAATGTTAACAGGGAATGCTTTTAGGGATTGAAAGTATTAAGAATCTGCTTTACATGCTTTTCCTACTTTTAGATGACCTTTTGCATTATTTATTAAACGACCCTCGTACACTGTAAAATCAATGTCATCCTAAACACAAAGCTGAACATATTTCTTTTTCTATAACTAACTCAAACTCGTCTGAACATACATGTATTTAGTATTTAATTGGTTTGACACCACAGAGTCTGCCACATCTGTTTCATATTTAGATGTTTTACTAACTATAGACGATAAAGGTCAATTAACAACTAAATTGTATGACAAACGAGATGACTTTAGCTTTTCCATCGTCAACGTTCCAAATTTATGTACTAATATTCCACTATCACTTGCTTATGGTGTTTATGTCTCCTAACTTATTCGCTACTCAAGAGCTTGCTCTGAGTACGATCAATTTTTAATGCGAGGCAGGCTACTCACTGATAAGTTGATATTACAGAGATTTCAACAGCCTCGTTTAAAGTCAGCATTTCGTAAATTTTATGGTCGTTATAATGACCTTGTTAGCAAATATAACATATCATTAGGTCGTATTTTGGCTGACTTGTTTCATACCATTTGTTAGGCCTTTGTTTTTGTACTGAATTGATTACGGATAGTTTCGTCTATCTGATAAATACATAGGGCTCAGCGGGTGTGACCGGTCAACAGGGGATGCTTACTTCTCCTACATGTAAGTACCTGATTCCACCTCTGGAATTCCCAGGGGTCCGTGTTTTATGCCCTCTTCACATATTTATATTGTTTTTGGATTTTTTGAGATCGATCACTGTTCGTTATCTTTACCTTTTACATTTGTTGCTGAACATGCTGAGTCCCTAAACATAAAAAAAATGTATTTAGTTCCAAACATTTTTTTTAAGAATCAAAGATAAAAAAAAAAAATTCAAAAGCATTACTATTTACCAATTTTTTAAACCTTGCTTTGTTGTTAAAAATTAAATTCTACAATAAATATGTATCCATACTTGAATACTTTCAGAAATATTCACAATTATTAATAATTGACATTTCCTTCATGTCATATGAGAGATACAAAAATGTCAGCAGTTCCATTAAAGTAAGTTCTCAGCAAGTCCTTTATTAGCACATAAGTAATAATACAATATCTCTTTGTTTATAGCTATACATGTAAAGACCATTAAATTACAGAAGTCATTTTCCATCTCATAACACTGTGAGATAAACTCAGTATTGAAACTTTAATTATCAAAATCAACTTGATTTGGAGTAGTTCTTCACATGATTTGACAACTTTTTTCTTGTGTGCCGGGTTGAGCAGGATTTTGTTGATGCTGTGTCTTCGGTTTTTTGTGTGAATGTCCTCCCATCTTCTCTTTTATAAACGGTTCCCCATTTTTCATTCGACAGATAAACTGATATTTTCTAGTTCCACTTGCTATCTTGTACATGTTGTCGTCCTCGTCATAGATTGTGAAGGAGGCATTTTTCCACACACCGTCTCCCTCTCTCTGTAAGAAGTCGATACAGGCCTGAAGCAATCTTCGAAGTCCTGGTTTTCCCTCAGAACCTTCATGACCGACATATCTTATAATCATCTTTCCTAAACTCCTTTTGTTGATTTCATCAACTTCGAAAATTTCATTTCGATACTTGAAAACAACAAAAAAAATTATTTTAAACAAATGTGCTATTACTTTGCATTCTAAATAGCCTTTGAATGAGATGATTTATTTTTGCCATTAAAGTTGTTGAATTACATTTCTTTAGCATTAGCCCTGTTTTGTATCATTTATCATTTAATTTTCAAATAAGTGAGTAAGAGGGCTGTGATCATAATATAGAATGCAATAGGTAATATTCTGATTTACTATTTAGTATGATTAACTGTTTAGTTGAATTATTAAAAATAATATTAATTTCCTTCCGTAGATATGTCAAGATCTGCTCACATCAAATGTCATCCGATGGGTTCCGAGCTTTTTAAGGATGTCCATTAGAGTTTGATCTCCAGGTCTAGCCTAAATTCAAAAAAGTTGTTGAGTGATAAGAATGCATAAAATTATTAAAGGCTTTCATTTTAACAGCCCAAATTTGAATAACAGCTCCGTAAAATATATGAAAAGTGTTTCAATTATAACTGCTTTATCTTTGAATTCGTAAACTGAATTTTTACACATTTTATGTTCATGATTACTTACCGAAATGACACCTTGAAGTATATTGGTAGCCATGGCAAGAAACTCGGTTTTATCTTCTTTTTCTTTTTCCTATTATATATGAAATAACAGAAGAGATACCGCTTTTGATAACGACTTCATATCAAACTCAAATCTAAACTCTACTTCTAATTTATAAAATTATAAAACTGTAAAAATATTAATTAACACTCTTTCACAAAACATATAGCTCCCACTTTGAAGTACTTGCACTTAATAGTTCAACAAAACGTTATATTGCTTATTTTATTTTTCCTCCATGTTTTTATCTAATGATCTGTTCTTCTCACAATAACTTTTTTTTCTTAATGCATAGGATATCCCTCCTATCAAAAATTGAAAATACGATTTAACCATGCATGGTATTAAAATTTATTTCAAGAATACTTACTGTCATTTTAACATTTATGATTTGTTCTGGGGTAATCTGAAAAAAAAAGACGAATATATTATTATCGTAAGCTCGAAAGAGCCAAAACATAACTCTTTTCATGTAGAATTTTGTACTGTATATATGTAATGCAAATTCTTATGAACTCAGCTGGCTGAATTCGTTGTCTTTCCAAGGTCTTGACTTCTTGTCTAAGTTCAGCAACAAGATATCTTTTGATCAATTTATTTATAGATTTTATGTCCTTACGCTTAATATTGATAGATAAAACTGTACATGACAAAATATCTTTCTGTGCATTGTTCTGTACTATTTATATAATAGTGTTATTATTTGGATGTACTATGCCGAAATAGTAGTCAGGGTTTGACACATGGTGCACGAGCCGGAGGCGAGTGCACTATGTGTCAAACCCTGACTACTATTTCGGCATAGTACATCCAAATAATAAAACTATTATAATTATTATGCTGACTGTTGTTTGTATACGACAATTTAATTAAATTCTCAATCCCAAACCTGTTTGCAGACGTTAAATCTAAATGAAAATTTTCTTGAACATTCTTTGATCAAGCGTTATATCAAAAAGCGTTTTATTGACTCCGAAGAACCAGTTCATGTTACGTTGCAATTTTGGTTACTGAAAAATTCGATTATTTGTTAGAGAATTTTTCTTTAAGATCCTTATCAATAATATCAGTCATAGAAATTATATTCATTTATTTCTTGTTTTGTGACAAATGTATAAAAACTACGTTTATATACTTGAAAATACATTCCCTAAAGTAGCGGTGTTTGTGGCGTAATCGTTAACGCGTTGGACTGACGTTCTCGAGATCGTGAGTTCGATCCCCAGCGTGGGTGCTAAATACATTTTCTCTAGAAAAGACAGCCGTGCACTATTTCGGCATAGCTGCTTACGCTATATAAATCCTTAGAACACTATGCGAAAATAGTTGGGTATTGATTATATAGAGACAAACTGACAGGAAGCATAATAATTGATTATATGTATACCCAATTGGCTGTCTAAGAATACCAATGTGATACAAGTAAAAACGTTACAATACATTGTTTTGGTTTGGACTCACAGTTATTATTGGAATATGTGAGACAATTCAGGAAACACTTAGCCAGTACTAACAAATATTGATAAGTTCGAGTTGTGAAAAAAATACTCTAGTAAGTGTTTGACAGTAATGTAAAAAGTACCTGAGTATTGGACCGAAACATGGCCATCTTTTTGTGAATACCCCCAAGGCGATTTTCTTTCATAGTCTAGGATAAAACAGTACATTTTTATCAAGGTTATGTAAACTAACTGTACTTTTTTATATGGGTGCATTCTAAATATTCGTGAGTGAAATGAATATGTGTAGTTTTATGACGTACCTTTAATTTATCGAAGTATTTTCTTTCGTGTTCTTCCGGGCCCATCTGAATTATGTATACATGAACAATTCGTTAAACATGTTCAGGACACAAAATTTGATGCAGAGTTTCTAACTTTATTCAGGAAATTTTCATTCAATTTTCTAATATACTATGTGAATCAAAATTTATTAGCAAAACCCACTGTAACTGATATCAAAATGCAAACAATGTTTATGCATAGCGGGGGGGGGGGGGGGGGGTTAAAAACATATTCTATTGGAATGCATTCAGTGACGTCATTTGTCATTGATTCGTAAGTGATAAAATATTATTTGGCCATAAAGAGGTACTAAAGTACCAGTATTATATTCTACAAAGTAAACATGAAATAGTACATTGGAAAAAAATCTTTATAATGAAAGAAAAATATCTAAGAAATAAGGTTTCATTTTGAAACTTTTATGGGGATGAAAATACGGGTTGGTCATGTGATCAAATCCTATAAAGCCCGAAGGGCTTTATGGTAGATTTCATGCCAACCCGCATTTACATCCCGAGAAAAGTTTTAAAATGATACCTTATAACTCATATTTACATTTGAGTTTGATTTACAATGTTTATTATGAACTTAAGTTTTTAACCCATAAAATAATTTAATTTTTTTCAAACCTCAACGGTATATATTGAAAACTCGTCAACCCTTTATGACGTCACTGTGAAATTACATCAATCGTTTATGAATGAACAATGAATTTAAGGACACGTGACGAACCTGTTTTTACACAGAATTAAAAACGCCTTGCTTAAACGGTGTTATATAAGAGAAAACATTTGCACATGTAAATATAAATGTATTAAATGTTTGAATGTATTGTTTTGTAATATATATATATATATATATATATATATATATATATATATATATATATATATATATATATATATATATATATATATATATATATATATATATATATATATATATATACTATCCATCTTGTATTGTAATTGCAAAATCTCTTAGAAGTTAATTCTAGATTAGAATCAATGATGACATTCTTTAGAATATAGAATGTTTGTATCTGATACCTTTAGGTGACGAAATAATTCAAGAAAATCACGGTAAAGAAGTTCTTGAACATTTACTGTGTCCGTAGCTCCCACTGATAAGTGCCTCGCTAAAAGTATTTCCTATAAAATATTTGTTTGGTTGAAACACAGTTTGTAAGCTTGTTTGCAGAACTAAACAGAACGAATTCAATTATTTCTATGTCTATTAAATATGTAAATTATAGTACAAGAGAAACAAGGGGAAATATGAATTATCACATACCTCAATAAAAGTGTTCAAACTCTCCATAATCTCAAAGAAAATTTGTTGTTGTTGTCTGTCACACGCCTTTAATGAGTAATGAGACAAGTAATAATAAATGATATTTGCAAGGGTATTGCAGCAATAAAAGAAACACAATTAAAGGATAATAGTTGAAAGAAAGAAAGAAAGAAAGAAAGTAATACCTGTAACGTCTGAACGAAGTTCATCGCATATATTTTGAAATTCTCCATCTGTAGCAAAAGAATTAAATGGAGTACCTAATTCTAAGTATTGATTGTTCATTTTTCGGGGGTGGGGGCGGGGGGAGATTCTTCCTTTCCACTTATACCTCTGATAATGATAATTATCAATATCATGCAAGTTCTATGTCATTAATGTTGTTTAAGATTATTGACTTCACAAATTTTGCACAGTATCACATGTTTTAGCATAATTATCACTGCCTAGTGGCTTTGCCCTTTAAGATGTTACATTGATTCAATATTATGACTAAATTCCGTTATTTTCCTAACAAAGTTTCGGGAGTTAGCATTTAACTTGTTTTCGAATATTTCGAACAAAAGATATCAATATTGGTTTCTTTTTCATAAAAATTTTAATTGATGCTAAAAATTTACTCACCCCTACTTCTTTAAAACCATCTAGCTACAGATCAATGCATCGATTCTTAAAGACAGATTTAATGCTGGAAAAAGGTAAAAAAAAAAAATCATTAAGTAAATTGTTATTCAGCAGGAGAGAGAAAAAAACCGACGCATTTTCCGCAAAATTTAGCAATACATTCAAGAAACCCTTATATACTTTGATTTGGTCAAATCCTTTTTGTTCATTATTCAGTGTCTAGATAGAGTTGTGTGTTTTCTTCCAGAAAATTTCAGGAATGTGGTTTCTGAATATTTTTCTACGAAACTGCCAAACATCGAGGAAGTGTATGCCAGGTATGGCTATCCATAGTCTTTAAATAGCCAAATATGTTAAATAACCACGTGACAACGACAAATCTTTCCACGCCCATCGTAGCTTCTAAAGCTCTATGTCGCAAGTGATCAAGCATTGTACGTATACCAGGTTATGCCACGTAAACAGTAAAGCAACCAAGGGCCGACAGAGAAAAAAAATGGTAATCCTTTTAAAATAATTATCAATGTTACGTTGCAAACATTATTTATTTCTTACAATATTTTTTTAGATATGAATAATTTTTTAATTTTATTTTCAGTATTGCGAAGAAATCGACGATGAGGTCTTTCAACGAGCAATCAGAAGAATCCCTGCAAGTGCAAGACGAAACAGGTGGATAACTTCTGCCTTATATGACATCAGAGATGACTTAAACAGCACTCTAAGAGGGTGTGCTGACAATGTCACCGTGGAGGTTCACATGAATGACTACCTCTTTGAACCCATCACCATTCAAAGTGGTTCTGGAGGAAACAAACTAGCCATTCACATTAGCGAATGGGGAAATGTGCAGTATCGCTGGGTCAGACAAACCTGGGCCAAACACTTCAGGAATGCTTATGAAACTGTAAGGTCGATTGCCAGGAAAATTGTGTCCAGTGTTGGATCGTTTTTTGGCAGGTTGTTCGGGTCAAAGAATAGCATTGAAGGGTCTTCTCGCGGCTATTTGACCTATTACTAAATCTCCTCTATTGTTAAAATTCAATATTTGTATCAATAACGAGGACCTTGTCCGTTTTCTGTATACTTGAAATATTTTGTTTACATGTTTAGTTAGAAAATAAAATAAATCAGTATTCCCTTGTCTTATTTTCTTATATTTCTTGCAAAAAAGAAATAAAACTCATTTTACTTTAACCAAATGAGTCCTTTCTCTGTACCAGGACTATACTAAAAAAGTATCACTTTTTCAGGAGCTGTTGATGATTGGAATGAAATTTATATGGTTTCTTTTTTGTTTCTAGTAATGTTAATTTTAAGTCAAAACAAATTATAAAATTAATTTCATCTACTTATTTTAAAAAATGATAATTGAAAATAAATACAAATCTGTTGAAAAAAGCCAATCTTATTAAACGAAGTATAAAGATTGAAATGCTGAAAATCTTTAACCATATTCGTTTATTTCAATCAAGAGGAAATGATTATCAGCTATATATATGAGAAAAATGTAGCTTCAAAGGTAAAAATAAATAAAGTTGCCCCCGAAGTATGGATTCACTTTCTCTAAATTAAAAAAAAGCGGACACTTTACCTTATAGAAACTAAAAACATACCTATTCGGAGGCACCTTTAAAATGTGATGTAGAAATGAGTTTTTATTGCACTTTTATAGGCACACTTTCTTTTTTTTTAATACCTTGTAACCTCGTGCATTATAAATATCTTAAATTCCCAATATTAACTGCTTCTAATTTTTCATTCTTTTTAGTCATTTTCTTCCAATCGTCACGGTAGCCTAGTGTTAGGGCGTTTGCCTCGTGATCAGACGGACCGAGTTCGATTCTAGTTCGCAGGGCCGAGTCAGACTTAAGACGTAAACATATGTAGTGACATTCCTGAAATCACGGGTCTTTTGCATGAGACTTTAAAATCCGAGGTCCAGTATTACGGTATGCGTTGGCATGATAAAGAACCATCACTGCTCAATAGCCCTGAGTGCCGAGTAAAGGTCTAAATTTGAAGTACATCACGGGTATAGGGTGACCTCTCTATATGAGTGAAAATTCTCGAATGGGACGGAAAACTACATACAATCCATCAATCAATCTAAAGACTTCTAATTTTTGTTCTCTAATCATTGTATATTTTCTATACTTTAATACTCTCTCTTTCCAATATATTATATCCCTTCCTTCACACAATCTCGAGAGAGAAAAAGTCAGGAAAAAATTATATGTGAGGCCAGAAATTATTTTAACGATTTGTTATTTAATGTCTGATTATTCATTACCAAAATCAAATCAAGCTCTACTAGAATAATTTGGAGGCTTTTTTTTCAGAATCTTATTAATACAATGTAGCAAACGGAACGAGTCTTATGTAAAACGGTCTTACCTTGTGTTGTGTTTCCGCCTCCTTTAGTTTATCTGCGCACAAGATTTAATTGTTGAGCATTTTGGAATACTTGTTTGCACATGACGTTATTTTTAAACCAATCGCTTTATTACAATCTGAATATGTGTATTGAGACATTAGTTGTATCTTGAAACATGGGGGTAGGTATTACAATTTTATTTAGAAAGTATACGGTCTTCCTACTGAAAGAGTTATTATGAAATCAATAATAACCTTATATTTCATGTAACAGGAAACTTTTGGCGAGATCACAGATGAAGAACTGAACGAGGCTTTTAATCGGGTAAAAGAAAAGTTTAATGGATATGATATTATGAGAGAAAGTTTCTACGAAATTCGGGATGGTATAGGTGACATAGTCAAAACGTGCTCAAAAAATGTCAAAGTTGTCATCTATGTGAATGATGTTTTGGATAGTCCCATAACAGTGCAATCAGGAAATGCCGAAAACAGACTTAGAATTACAATCAAATCGAGAGGACGAGTGTCCTACAGCTGGACGAAGGAAACATGGGGGAAGGTATTTAGAGATGCTTGGATTGGAATAAAGTCTCTCCTCCAAAGAATACTTACGTTTATTGCATCCAACGCAAGAAGTCTTCTTGGACTTGGGCAAGCGGCCTTGGCGGCAATCGGCTTTTAAAAAAAGTTTCTATGGCAGAAAATGACTTTTTGCATTTCAATCAAAAATATTACAAATAAAAAATATGAATGCAATATTTATGATTCTATATATGATTATACATAGAATTTTTATATATATTTAACTTAGTAATCACTTTTGTTTATCACATTACACTTCAATATTGTTAGTTTAGTAATTAAAAGAATTAAGGGCATCCGCATTGTGTTAGTTATTTTTGGAGAACATTTTTTTAAATCAAAATTTCTGGGATTACTCTGTCAACCTGATCGATGCAGAGGGCTCACAGTGGGTGCAACCGGTCAACAAGGCTGCTTACTCCTCCTAGGCACCTGATCCTACTTCTGGTGTTACTAGGGGTCCCTTTTTTCTCCTGTTTACATTTTGTATTGTTAAAGGCTTTAAAAGATTGACCATTGTTTGTTATCTTTGCCTTTTTCATCGGTATTTATTCTTCTGTTATTATTAAATGAGATAGCACTTCCAGATTACCTTTTTCTAAAATTATTTTCATGACAAATAACTAAAAAATAGTATTGTGATTGTTTTACGATTACAAGAATAAAAAAAATTGAATGTATGTTTGGGACATGTTTTCTTTCACTCTTGAGCACATCTAGCACATCATAAAGAATATACATAAATAATAAAGAAAATATTTTTTTTTAAGTTTCAACAACTTTAAAATGCGACAGTATGACCAGAACTGATAAACTGAAAAAAATTACGTGAGGTAAAAAAAAAATAATTAAAAATGTTTATCAATGGACTTTTGAGCTGGATTACTCTTCGTTTTTTCCATATTTCATTAGATACCGGTAGGTCATTTAAAACTTAGACTACGTTCTAAAATCAATAAAAGGTTAATTTTGATTTTCGTGGAATCAACTCTCTTCCTTGTCAATGACCTGGAACTACCCATTACCTGTAACCATTTTAGCGGCATAAATCATCACTTAAATTGTCTTTTTAGGGTGTGACCATTTAGATAACTTTAAAATGTTTGCTTTGAAAACCATATAGGAGTCCATAGATATGTAAGTAGGTGGAAGGTACATGAAAATTATCATTAGTTCAATCAAACAGGTCAAACTTCGACAGACAATCCTCTCATACTTTTGTTTTTCTTATTCATTGCAGACAAAAATAAGGCATTATGTAAAATAAACAATCATATATATTCTTACTAGTGATGGGACATCAGTTTTTCGGTTGAAATCGGTTGCTGCTTCCAATGTAGTTTTTAACGATTATAATCAGACGTTAGATTTTTACTTTTTATATCTAATTCTTGCAAACTTTGAAATGTTTTCTGCATTTATATATATATATATATATATATATATATATATATATATATATATATATATATATATATATATATATATATATATATATATATATATATATATATATATATGCTTTTGCACTTCTTCCAGTGCACGTAAAGTGAAAACAAAAACAATCTTTTTTTCCCTAAAATCATATTGTGAGACATGCCAATCCGATGATCGTTTATGAAAAAATATCGATAATCAGAATCGGAAGGTTTTTTTTCGTCCTTAATCGATCGTTTCCGATTATCGGTACAACACTCATTTTAACTGTATAATGAAGGCCAAAATTGCCGCTTTATTGAATGTTTGATTCGACTTTTTCATGTTGTTTTATCCTTTCCTGAATATTTTGGTACCGTTTATTTTTTCTTGTTAGAAGATTATGTTCATATGCTGTTTATGCTGTTTTCTAAAACAAAAAAAAATATTTAGAATTAAAGTAATTTTCAAAAAATATGTGTTCTGCTTTCAAATCCAAGTATCATAAACACACATAAAATATGAATCAGACGATAACACTTTGACGTCATATCCAATGAAATGTGAAGAAAACAGTTAATACAATACATGTTGTGAGCAGAGCAAATACGAACCTCTGAAAACAGAGGTGGTATCAGGTGCCATGGAGGAGTGAGCATACCCTATCTACCAGTCACACCTATTAAACAAAATTTCATCAAACTGAAAAAACCCAAGCACTACTACATCAGCTTATAACAAAGTTCCCGTGAAACCGAGAGAAATATAATCAATAAATTATCTTTTGAGGACAAAATGGAATCAAATTATTGATCAGCAAAGACATTTAAAGCGGTAAAAAGTTCTTGGGTCAGTGAGACTTTCGTAGAAAAAATCTGATTTTTCTTCCTGGTTCATGTGTTGCGTTCATTGTCTTTAAAAGCTATTTTATTAAGCTCGTGGAATTGATCCATTTGTATTCTCTAGCGACGTTAAAGAGTTAACAAATGAAACAACGTATGTAAAAATAAATCCAATGTAATATCACCCATTTTATTTTATTTTTAGAAATCAAACATTCTGTAATCTTTTAGTATATTTCAAAATTGATGCATTTATTGAAAATTTAATTTTAGGTGAGTGTGTGCACTTAGACTCTCTCTTTATATACACTCCTATCACATCATAATATTTTACATTTTGAAATCCCATTATACAGTTCACGAACCCTGTGCTTCAATTACCGATCAGGCATGCAATTATCATGAGGCAATTCATTAGACCTTTACAGTATTTAAAAATAGATTTTGTCAAATAAAATAAAGATACATAGAATAAAAAATAAACAAATACCGGTAGTTGAAGTTACTCATCCCAACATAGAAAAAGTTACATAAAATTTCTAAGTTCATCGACATTTTTCTGGAACATACAATTTCTATTGATTGATTAAAACATTTCAGATTCAGATACGTCCAAAATCTGGCAAACATTTCGTTAAACAAGCAATTCGAGTACTTGAAATATAAATGTATTTTGTAATTTTACTTCTAATGCCAAAGTTATGGTGATTTTGATTGCCGAAATTTTAAAATCTTGGCTCTTGTAAGAAAAGTGAATTTTGATTAAGAGAAATTGCTGTCAATTTCGTTATACGAGGGGTGATCAAAAAGTTCGCGAACTATCTCTATATTTTCAAAACCACAACTCAGATCAAAATGAAATTTGGCACACTTATAGTCATACATGTGTTCTATATATAGCAGTTTTATGTAATGATTTGCTCCATGTTTGTGAAGTCACAATGTGACAATGACGTCATTAGGTAGGTTACTTGTGACAAAAAATGATTGACTCAGTCGTACTCGAGCAACGAACAGCTGTAAAGTTTAATGTGTATCTTGGAAATTCCTTTGCAGAAGCATATAATACTTTGTACAAAGTTTATGAAGGCAAAAGACTTGCCAGGAGTTCAATCATTAATTGGATTGATTGTTTTAGGGAAAGAAGGTAGATGGTTAAAAATGATGTTTGTTCTCTTACCCAGTGAAATCAAGCTGGGGAAGATATGTGTCTTCAGTTGAGCAATTTGATATGAAAGACCGCCAAGTTACAGTCAGAAAAATAGTTGAATACAGTTATTAAATCCCCAAAATATTGTTTACTTTAGACTTTAATCATATCAGTTATGATATAAAGAAGGCGCCATGCCTTATAACCACATTGGATAAACGACGTTCCCAAGACAGAGGACTAGGGTTGTGATGGTCACCATGCTCATTCCGGGAAAGGATATCCTTATCCACCCATCCTATTACCGAGATTTGGCCATTTTTGACAAGTTGACCGTTCTTGTTATAAAAAATAATTTGCATGGTAAGAAATATAAGACTCGGAAAAATCTTTTACATCCTGTGAACGGAACGCTTCGGAGCATGTCACGTGACCGCCTGTATCACGTGATTCGCGCATGGGCAGAACGGTGGCAGATGTGCATTTAAATCGAGAGGATTACTTTAAAAAATAATGAACACTAAAACCTAATTTCATTTCTTTTATGGAAGTTATTCAATTAGTTCGCGAACTTTTTGATCACCCCTCGTATGTCAATCTCGGCAGTTTCTGTCGACAAAAAATTATTGCAAACACATCGCCTATCTATTTTCATCTGAAACCACCTTGTGCAAGCGCTCGCTCTGTGATGGAAAAGTCGTGTGTTCGCCGCGACTGACCTAAGTCGATAAAAAATAGGGAGCGACTGTTCCTTCGCCAAGCGCTCGGCACTTTGAAGTGAAAGTTGCAGGTCCTTTGGATGAGACCTTACAAAACGAGGCTCCGTGTCACGGTAGGCGTTGGCACGATAAAGAACCCTCAAGAACTGCTCAATGGCCCTGAGTGCCGAGTAAAGGTCTAAATCTGAAGCCCTTCACCGGTATATGGTGACGTCTCTATATGAGAGAAAAATTTTCGAAAACAACATACAATCATCCTTCAATCAATCAATCATCTTGTGCAATTTCTAATAACAATATTTAAGCTATGCTAGATATGAAAGTATTTTGAGTTAAAAAGAGCTGTTAAATATTTTTACAGTGGTAAAAAAGTACTTCATTTCTACAAGAATCACGTCGTTAAATAATTACGAATACGGATCTTCAGATTAGAACAAAAAGGGTTTTACTGGTAGCTATACATGGTACCGATCAGGAAGTATCTGTCCAAATTTTCCTCTTTCGGTTGTCAATGTCTTCTTAAAATGGGTAGTTTTATAGAAAAACATTCTAGTTTGTAATATCCATCTTAGACTTTCCTGTCTTTATTGAAGAAGATCGGTATTAATTTTTCTGTTATATAGCACTTCCAGACTACAACTTGAAGGTTCATATATACCAAATATTTCAGGAAAGGGTTATTTTCATGAACAATTGTAACTTCAAAATAAAATGATAATTCTTTTACAATTACAGAAATTATTAAAAAAAAATGAGTGTATGCTTAGGACAGTATTTCTTGCACTTTTGAGCACATCTAGCACGATTAATAAAACAAATAGTATATTGATTTTTTTTTTATTTTAAGTATTCAACGGCTTGAAAAAAGTGACAGCATCAACTCCGAGACCAGAACCGATCAACTGAAAAAAAATCTTCATTGAGGTAAAAACTAAATAATTTCCAATGTGTGAATAGGTTATTTAAAACTAAA